TATAAACTATATAAAGAAAAAAATGACAGAACTTGAAATGAATAAATCCACCCACATATTGGGACATCTTAACTTCTCTCATTAATTGAATTATGGACCGGCCTGCACAGTGATGTATGTGAAAATTTAGTCATAGAATATGTCAACAACACACAATCCTACTTGATCAAGGGCAGATTGTTAGAATACTGTATCCATAAATGTTAGGACATATATTCTTTTCTTTCTTATGGGCCTGAGGTGGGATCCCAGGGCCTTGCATATGCTACACAAGTGCTGTGTCTACGCCCCTGGCCCCAGAATATATTTTACAAATCCACACAAAACAATTTAAAATAATTTCCCAAATATTAATAACTCATGGACCATATGCTTATGGTTCTGAAAAATGTTTTATCAATTGTCAAGTAGGAAATATTGCTAAAACATGATCTTGGAAAGATCATATGCCAATTTGAAAGCTTGCTTTTTGTATACTTTTCTAATAGTCATATGATAATTCTATATTAAATGAGTATTACTAAAATTATACCAACAGTTTCAATAGATGTACTATCAAGATAAGAATACACTAAATTTTTTTCAGAAATTTTTAACAAATTATGTGCATATCTCATGTCCATCTGTGTTTCTGTCTTTCACTTCAGTAATATCAGAATAAAGCCCTTCATTATAGTTCCCCCAAAAACTAGTTTAAAAATATTAGCTTTGAGTTGTGCACATGTGGCCTTTTCTGTCCTTATACTTGACATAAATTGAATAACGATGTTACAGTATGTAGGGATTTGACCGCCACTTAAAATGCAACAGTGGATGGAAAATAATAGTATTATTTTCTCATCCCAAATTAAACAGTTATGATACAGGCACCCTAGGTAGGGTTCTTTTCTTTGCAGAAGAGTTCATCATAATGAAAGGAGAAGTTCAAAGGATTCAGTAACGCTTGGAGCAGAGGTGCCTCTTAACAGAATTTATTTCAAGGCTTTGGAGTATGCTAACTCCTTAGGCAGAAAAAGCTTCACTTGGGAAAAACAAATGTATGTGATGTGGTTGACATAATTGTGAAACTGAAATGGACAGTATAATATCTCCAAAGAGCACACAAACCTATAAAGCTTTAACATCACACTGTTCACATGATATGCAAGTAACAATTCCCATTTTACAAATGAAGGAACTGAGAAACTGAAGTCAAACATCTCACCCCAAGTCAAGTTATGACACCACAGACTAGGCTAAACTAACTTCTTTTTTGCTGTTCATATATCCTGTCCTTATTTTATGTCCTGTTTGGTTGATCAGATAACACCAGATCTGGCAAGAAGGTTTAAGATCATCGTAACTGAGCTTAACTTTGAGTTTTCTGGTTTTAAGTTCTTTTTTTTTTAACTCCCAAGACTCCTTGCCTGACTTTTACATTTCATGACTCATATCACATTCATATCACTTTGCTTTCCTCTCATCTTCTCACCTTCTGCCTGAAAACAGACAGACACAACCCCATCCGGATGAAAATCAGTGGGGCCAGGTTTCAAGGGTGGCAGGGTGAAGGCTGTCCTCAGAAGGTCTGTGTGACAAACGATCCAGCCCTGGACAATCTTTTGAATGTCTATGACTTTTTCTTCATCTCTCTACATCCCAAATGTGAGGCAGCAGAGGAGAAGAAGAGGTAGAGAGGATAATAAGCAGTCAGCATCAGATGGGCCTGGTCTGAAGTCTAGTTCTACCATTGCTCGCTGCTTGGCCTGGTCTTAAGTTTCTTTATCTACGAAATGCTGACGAAGGCATCCCTAACTCCGCTATGGCGAGTACTGAGAGGGCGTGCATCACCCTAACCTGTGCGCTGGCTAAACCCCTCCCAAGCTCATTCTTCGCTGGTGCACCCTCTAAGCTCCCCTAACCCGCCAGTCGAGGAGGCCTGGCACCACGTGAGCTCGTGGGAAAGTTATCCTCGGTTATGGGGCAGCTGTGGCGCAGGAATGTGTTCCCCATAAGTGCAGGCAAGTGGAGCACTACCGTTCTGCTGCTTGACAGCACTGCATAGCAGGTGCACAGGTCTGAACATTCCCGAATCTGGAGGGGGCCGCTCTGGCTTTCAGAGCTCAGTCACCAGGCCACAGCCGGAGCCAGGCACAAGCCAGGAGCCTGAACTTCAGCTCTGAGTTTGCAGTCCGACAGAAAGGCACCGCAACCCCGGCGTTCGCGGGGCTGACAGCACCGCAGGTCAAGCCCAGGTACTTTTTCAGGTACTTCGCTTTGCAAGGCTGAAGCCCGGACGCCGAGCAGTCTGGACTGGACCCAGAAAGGAAGCCGGCCGGCGGGGGCTGGGGACACGGAGGCACCTTGCGTGCCGCCCCGCTTGCACGCCTGAGCCGGGCGGGCGCTGGCGCCGCCCCTCCGC